AGGCCATAAAATATAATTATTGCCAGTTCTTTTCGGTCTGGCAGTTGGCCAAAAGCAATAACATCCGCCAGTAGAAGAGACAGCTAGAGGCACAAGCTGTTGCAGCAGTTTCCATCCTGCAGGGTTCTCCAGGGGTTCTTCCTTTTTCCGCTTCCCCGCCAGACACAAGCTTTATGGACAGACAACAACGAGACGCATAAACAATGTTGATGTTGCTGCCTTTTCCTCTAAGAGTACACATTTCCTTTAAAAAAGTTGTACAACAAAAATAGGAGCAAGTTTTAACCAGTTGTGTGTGCATTGAAGACTGCATAATACTTCCTCTCGATGTCTTGGCGTCACAGACCATTTGTCAGTCGATGGCCAAAGCCAAAGCCAATTGCCGACTACAAAAATTCCAATCCCACCTAATGGATTATGACGTCCAAAGAGTGAAAAAAGAGAGGGTATGACAGCCAAAGAGTGAACAAAATAAAGGGTATTCCATCCGAAGAGTGGAAAAAAGTGAATGAGGAATGTCTTTAATCATCAGTGGAATCACAGCGGGAGAGGGAGAAACAGGAGTAAAACTTGTAATCCTCGAATGCAATTTTCCACCGTCAATTAAGATGTTCGTTAATAGTTCGTTAGTTGAGTAAATAAACTAAAGTTAAACGATTTCTCTAAGGCATTTAAGAGGGAGTGTGAGGGGGGTCTGACAACCTTTAATGGAATGCGCCATGACGAGGCTGTAAACATGAGTTGGCAGCTCTTATGACTCTCCATGACGTGCCTCTCTCTCCCCCTCTCACCATAGGCAAAAATGTTGATTGTTGGTTTTGGGTTTGAAAGGATTAAAGTTTAATATAATAAGTGGTAAAGAATCGCTTAAGTGTGCAAATTAATATTACATTATTTTTTCTATAGTGCATGAGAGATAGAGAGATTTTGCGGTTTATTTCCTTACATTTTCGAAGTAATTTCCAGCGATAGCCACAATTCTGTTCTCCCACATAAAATACTTGTAACCTTACAAGAAAATGCCTTTCAAAGCCGTTGGAATAATGTAATACAATTTATGCTATAAACGCAAGAAGAGAAAATTATAATTAAACTACGGATACAATGCGATTTCCACTCATTAGAAACGAGACCTCAAAGACTGGCGGCATAAAAAACAATGGGATTGAAAACAATGTGAGAAAAGTTAAGAACAGCAGAAACAAAAGTAGAAACCCCTAGAGAGAAAGAGGTGGAGGAATCGAAGGAGATGTTTGCCTCTGCATAAACATAAACATGGTTGATGGCGGAGGTCTCTCTCTACCATTCTCCCAGGGATAGAGAGGCTGAGAGTGGGAGAGGCCAGACAGAGGGAGTACGGAGTACGTGTGCGTTCAACAGACATGTCTTATCGAATCGGGTTTGCCATTAACTTGAGGCCAAGACCGAACCCAAAGGAAACTGCATTCCAGTCATACCTCAAGTAGTACTCTCCCCCCTCTCTCCTTACACTTTTTTCTCATTTTTCTGTTTCGCATCTTCTACCTCGTCTGCCACATGCCACACTCCCAGTTACCCTTCCCACCATTCCTAAATGTCTTCCCGTTGAGGAAGCGCCGCCAAGAGTTACATGATATCAATAAAAGTGCACAGCGTTCCCGGTCCGGTCCCTTAGATAAACTTCAAGAGCAAACACAGAAGGCCACAAGAGAAGTGGCCAGAGGAGGAGAAAAAAGTACACGGAGAGACACCGAGACAGCTTTGGGGTTCGGCGAAGCATTAAATACCCTAAAATATCAATCGCATCCAAATGAAATCTGTAGCTGAAGATTAAATGTTCAGAAATTTAAGCAATGCATATCATAATGTTTCCTTTAAGGCCATTAAATAAATAAAAAATATACTCTTAAATTGAATAAGACTAGTAAGTAAAGGGTATCAAAAAAGGTTTTCCAACACACAGAAACAACAGCAGCAGCCAGAAAGAACAACAAGAGGAATGGGCTAGGCAGCAGCAGCAGCAGGAAAAATGTTGCACCTTTGTTAGCTTCTGGCTGGATGCCGTCGTGCCATGTGGCTTAATGGATATGCAACTCATATGGCAAATTATCCAAAAATGTTGGCAAGGAGAAAGGTGAGGGAGAGCAGGTAAGTTTTCAGGTGAGTGCAAGTGCTTTGCTGTAGATGGAGCTCAGACACATTCCATTTCTCCCAAAGGATTGCTTTTTATTTCACTTCTGTTAATTTTGTGTTCCCTTTCCTTTCCACCTTTCCTTTCTTTTGGCAAATTTACAGTTGCATTTGGAATTTTCTTATGGGTTTGTGTTTCTTCGTTTACTTTCAAAGGTGAAGGCTGTCTCTGGCTGCTCCTTAATCTCTTGAGAGTTTCAGAGAGGCAAACAAACTGAAGATAAATGAGTGAAGATATCTCACATCATTTTGAGTTACTTCCTCTTTCTCTCTCCCTCTCTTACATCATCCCAATTTTTACATCACACACTCTTTACTGTCTTGCTTGTCTTTTTAAGAATTCCCAACATTCAACGCTAATCAGACATCCCCACAGACTCTTCCAATTAGGCCACAAAACGCAACAGAATAATGGTTAATAGATGAGAGAGCAAAGTTAAAGGTTTCCGCAGCTGGCAGCGGCTAAGATAAAAAAGCGATACGAAGCGGAGAGAATGCAATAAAGAAGGATGATAAAGAGGACAAACAACAACTGCTGACGGCTGTAAGAATATTCCATTCCTTGCGTATCGCCATCCATGAGATACTACGTGAGCCTCTTGGCCACGAGCACATGGACAGGGGGAGTAGGAGCCACTATGGTGCCGCATGTCCCCCAAATGACATTGGCATTTGCATGAGAGAGGATGGGATCCTCCTTCTATAGATAAATTGTGAAATCAACCGCGAGACCGAACACGAAACGAGTTGAATTCCAAAATCTAGCAGACGTAAAAGGAACATGGGAGAGACAGAGAAAGAAAAGGAGAGAGAGCGAGAGCGAGAGAAACAAAGAGAAAACGGAGAAGGAAGACGGATAAAAACGGACACCTGTCGACAGGTAAAATAAACGAAGCCGGCAAATGTCTTAGTCAGCAAACTGGAGGAAGAGTAAATCAAAGCAAATAAGAGTAAAGTACAGCAAAGAAGATGAAAACAAAGCAAAGCAAATATGAGAAAAATTATGTAAAGAAAAGGAATATAGAAACGGACAGAAGAGGAGAAAACAGACAAAGCAAAACAAATTCAAACAGAACAGAAGCAAAGAACACACACACACACAGACAATCAGGTAAAGATTCTGAAAAAAGGCAAGAAAACCAACAAAACAGATGAGGAAATCTTTGAGATACAGAATCAGAGGTAGAAGTAGAGAGATAGGCCGAGAGAACCTAATCAAAATTCACCTGTCACCTTGCCTTTGCTCCTCTCTCTCTCTCTAACTGTCCCGCTGTTCCTCTTCCTCTTAAGAGGCTTTGACATCTGATCGTGAGTCTTTTCTTTCATTGGTATACCCTGCACAAATCAGAGCATATCTATTTGCAAGATGAAAAGGTGCAAGGCAACATAAAATCAGCAGAAAGTCAACTGAAAGTGAGTTGTCTCTCAAGTTCTGGTAGAGGGTATCCATCGTTGCTCTCTTTCTCTATCTTTTCTCATTCATAGCTTTTTGTTGTTTTTACACTCTCACGCTCTCTTATCTCTCTTTGTGTGTGTTTCCTTTGGCAAGTTACTTTTAACCCTTGGGTAACTTTATTGGGGCTTAAAGTGACCGCCGTTTCTCGGCTTAGCAGCCGCACAAATAAAAATACAACAAAAACTATACATCGCATGGAAAAAAAAGCCTTAACAAATTAGTCATTGTGATTAATGGGAGCAAGCGAGATGAAGAGGTGGAGTAGCTGCTGCTTTCTTGTTTTGGTGCCACTTCTGCCTCATCCTCTCATCCCTCTCGCTTCACCATAGACGCCCTTCCTTCTTCTCAGACGTGTTCAAGTTGCGTTTGATTTATTTCGTGTGAGCTTTTTCAGAAAAGATTATAGGTGTCGGTGGCAGTGGGAGGAGGATGAAAATGGAGGGGTATGGGTATGCCTTGTGCAACACTGCATTTATCTAGATCACTCGACCGTATAAGGGGTGGTGGGCAGTCGGAGGAGGATGAGTGCTTCTGTTGGAACTCAGATGTTAAAAGCATGTGTTTTTCGGGGTCAAGTTCAACACTTTTATGCATCAAAAATTCAAGGAATTTGAAAGAAATAATATTTTTGGTAACAAAATATTTTTTGATGCTCATTTTATTAGATTCCCATAGTTTTGATGTGATATGGTCGCTTGATTTGAATAATTATTATTGCTTTCCATGCGAAAATGCCTTTTCCTTAGTCAGGATAGAAGTTTTCTGAAAAACCAATTGGTTTTCCGACGATCTAATTTCATGTGTTTTCTAAGAGGCACGGAACTGCAGTTTTCTCCTAAACAACAAAATAGTAAGATCAAACTCGTTATGCCACTACTTTTGCAAGGTTATTCAAAAATGTGTTGCTCAAGGCCCTCTTCAAAAATACGAGTACACATAACGGCAAAAACAGCTGTGGGGCATAGAGAACGAAAGACAGAGATAGACAGCAGCTGAGAGAGGTACGGTACATACTCGACGCAGCCATAACAAGAACCACCCCCCATTAGAGGGTGGCTTTGACGCCCAAAGCACCCCTCCAACACCCAACATTCATCTCTGGGTCTAGGTTAAGAGAGAAACATTTCGACACATGAAAAACAGCATCAGCATCCTATTGAAAATCCAGCTTCAACCAAAGGAATGTTCAACCCCCAAATAATAAAAGTAAGCCTCAAAATTGGGGATTTCATTGATTAAAAAGTGTGTCACGCACACCACCTTAGCCCTCAAATTCACGTACATTAACCAGCCACACATGCACATTGGTTATTGGTGGGGGGAAATGTAAACACAGGTTTCCATATTCATTCATTTGGATGGGTAGAAATCTCACCTGAATAAAAGATCTGGTTTAAGAAATTCCTTGAAAAATTCGGAAGCAAGAAACAGGAATTTCTCTTAGTTGATGCTGGTTTCTCGTTCTCTTAGCTCCTTTTACGTGTGTGTTTGCTGGATTACTCTTTGTTGTCGTTGTTCTTGCTGATGTTCCTCTTGTCGCCTACTCTTTGCTGGAGTCGTTTTTCGCTGCTGCTTTGCGGTTTAACTGTTTTGTTGTTGCTTTTCCTTTCACTTAAACTAAACTCTCTTTGGAGCCACCAGCTCTCTCTCTCTCTCGCTGTTTCTTTCACTCTCTTTAAATAGGCGGCTTTTGTGTGCTTCTTTTGATTCCCCTCCCCCTTCTCTGCTGGTCTAGACTTTAGCGTCTGCAGCTGCTGGCAATGACATTTCTCCACAATTTCGCACAAGCACACACAAACAAACACGCGCGCTGCTTTTTTTTTTGCTGTTGGTCAGCGAATTTATTTCCCCGTTTTATTATTTCTCTTTAGGCAGACAGGTGCACCAAGCACACACACACTCTCACACTTGCACGTGGAAAGACGACGTCGTGACACACACACACGCACATGTACACAGACAGATGAGAGGACGCCAAAATGTTTGGCACTGAACTTCTTTTTTATTACAGCTTTTGCGTTTGCTTTGGCTTTTGCACACTATTTTTTATCTTATCTCCGTTTGCTTCTTTCTGCCTTCTTTCTACACTGCAGATAAGGGGCTCATATCAATTACTTTGATTTGTATTTGTATTTCACTTAGCCACTGCTTCCTCTTTCTCTTAAAAAGCCGCACAGAACACAAACACCATCCCCTTTAGTTTAACAAACACATTTAGTTACAAACAATTTCCTTCATTTGTTGCTTAATTTCTCGCGGCGGCCCGTTCCATTTTTTACTTGTTCTATGTTTGGCCCTTTCGTTAACACGAAACACACAGATTATACTTAAAGAAATGGGAGACGCGGAACTGGCTACCGAACGCACGTAAATTGAAAAATTGAATGAATGATGGAATGAAGAAACGAATGATAAAAATAATAATAAAAGCTCCCATTGTGAATGGGCAATTTGATATATTGTGAATGGACACCAGTGTGACCGCGGAATTATTGATCAAATATACCGACAGACCCCAGAAATACACCGAAATATACAATCTCATTTAAAAAATATACCGTAGTCTGAAATCATATTCCTCGATTTTGATTTTCTTTTTGATATTACCAGCTTGCAAAGACTTTTAACACTGAAACAATAATTTAATCCATTTGAAAAATCAATTTGACGTATTTTAAATACTAATTTTTGTTGGTTATGGCCTTATTTTATACAAATTCAGACTTTCAAATCACCCCTTCTGGAAGCAAGGGAGCTCTGTCTACAGTATGTAAATGATTACAAGAGACATGTTTCTAAACTGATAACATTGAAAATTTTGAAAAATAGCGAGCACAACAATTCTTCATAAGATTTCATGAATTCCTTTTATTGAATTGCCACGTTTATTGATCATTGATAAAAAATTCAAGTATGAAATTAAAAATGAGCAAACGTCGATTTATAGGTTTCAGTGTGACCTGATCGGATGAAATATACCAAAATTTCCAATGAGCTAGGCCACTAACCATCTTACATTTAAACAGGTGGAAAAATTGAACTAAAAAGTGGGGAACATTAAACATTCCGCATTGCAAAAGTGAAAATTAAGCCGTCATCTCTCACTTCTCAATCTACCTAACATTCGTTCGTTTTTTGATGCAAATCGAAATCATATTCCTCCACTTTGATATTCGGCTTAATATTACTAGCTGGCCAAGACCCACAGCACTTAAAATGTAATTTTTTCATAACAAAAAATTTACAAATATGTTGCACTTGCACTGATTCTTCTGAAAACAATTATTATGGGATGTCGGAGAATTATTTTGAATTTGAATTGGGTGCGTAGGTGTGTTAGGCCTGGGTTTCCCTCGTCAATTTAAACAATGTGACCAATTGAACCCTCAAAAATATACCATAATATTCTGTACCATTTTCTTGTTTTAATTTTGCAGAATGTCGCTAGGTGGTGCAGCATGGCTCTTCTGGACAGTGGCACACACCTACCGTGCTTTTGATGAAACACAATATAAGTGGCGCCACCACAGGAGTTTCATAGCAACCAATTTTAGTCAGTTTACAAGAAGCTGTATTCTTATTGTTTTTATTTTATTGATAATTTGATTTCAGGCATGAAGGGATCAGGCTCATGTTTCCTCTGCAACACTGTATTCATCTCAGTAAGGAAACCCCGTCATCCTGGGATCAGTATTGAGCCCAAACTATGGTCCATTAGGATTTTAAAGCCTGAGAGAATACAAAAATTCAGTTTGTTTTTAGATAATTATAAAAAAAAACAACAAAATTAATAGGAAGCAAATTAAACTGAAAATAAATATGATATACTAATATAAAAAATAAATACCACCTAAACCCCATCCAGATTATATTTAGAGAAGAGTCAGTCGCAGATTTACTTAGGCTTTACATAGATATTGCCTCAGTCCTTCCCCACAGATCTTTTGCGTAACTTTTACGGTTCTGAAATGCTGTGCTGTTGTGCTTCTGGTTGAGCGTACTCCCCCCTGGAGTCTGTATAGATAATGATATGCACGAGATATCGGGTTAAGTCCCAGAGTCTGGGACAACTTTGCTTACGTATTTTGTGTTTTACAACATGTTTGTGTTTGCTCCCACATCCATTCCATTCGCCAGAAAGATGCGTTTGCAGTTGTGGTGCTAAATATAACAATTCTGATAATCATCGTCATATCTATGACAAGTTGTGATAAAGAAGAAGGTCGGTTGCTCCTAACCAACAGATCGACAGTGGGTGGCTAGTCCGTCCAACACTTTCATATTTTCAGAGTAGTTTTACTATTTAAATGTTTTTCTTTGCACTCACATGATGGAGCTTGGGATTTAGACATTATCTTATCGCACTCGTCTAAGCACTAGCAAAACAAAGTTATGAACTCTTTTTTTCAGGAAGCACCTAAAGACTGAGATATATAAAATAATATAAGGAATAAATTCTCTCAGGTTAGGCCGGGTCATTGGGTGCATAAATTTAGCAGAAGCAACAGCGGACACACGACTTTAAAAAGTCCATTAAAAATTCAGAGCCACGTTGCTAGGGCCCGCACATATCGTAAATCGCGTAATGAGGCACCCTAAACACGTGCCCTGATCCCAATCAATCATTCGTTTTCCCTGCCACCATGTAATTTCCGATATCAGTTAATGGTTTTCCTTATCCACAACTGCCCCCACAATTATGTTTCAGTCTTCATTTCAGTTGAGTTTGGTCTTTACTTTGATTCGCAACGTTTGAAATACTATTCGCCAATTTCTTCAAGGAAATGCATAAGACTTTTGAAATTTTGAAACTATTTTTGAGTTCTATTCGCGTTGAGAGTGTGAACCGCGTTCATGTGGAGAGTTTCGAGCGGAGAGAAGTTTTTGTCACGGCCTTTGAATACGGCTGATGCGGATAAGTTTTAGAGAAAGTAAGAAAATGTGGGAATAATTTTGAGATGGAAGATATAGCAAGGATAAGAGAAGTTGGGAACAATCTGGATGTGTTTTCTAATATATATGCTTGAGAGACGGTTTTTTGTGAATTTACTGAATATTATCTTCTACATTTTGTTCGAGAAATTCCATTTTCCATATGAAATTCCATACAATTACTCCGGTTAAAATTTGCAACAAAACTCCCATTCGATCGAGGTTTTCCCACTGTACTTTCTGTACATTCTTCCACCACTATTTTACCTCGTTTTTTTTGTTCTCTGAACTGTCATTATCTTGGTGGTATAGTATATAAATCAACCCCCCTGCTGCCGGTTGTGACCAGAGCCTAGTGAACCTTGGCCTACCCAGGGCGATCTTCTCGCTGCAATCTTTCCATCTCATCTCTCATACTGGGGCGCTGTCACTCATGCAGAGATCGCGACATTGTCGCACGTCAGACGTCGCTCAGAATCCGTTGGCTGTTTCTTTTATCTCCATTCAAGAAATACAGAGACATTATCTCCCCACGATCTTGTCGCATCAACAGCCACCAGCCACCAGCCACCAGCCGGAGGAGAGCCTCACTGAACTGTCACCAACACCAGAGAAGGAACCAATTTAAGTTAGAATCAACATCATCATCATCACACACCGAATGCGTGTGTGTGTGTGTGTGTGAGAGATCTGTGGGGATATGAGATATAGCTGAGATATTGCTGAGACGTTGATAAGAGATTTCCATTTTTCCTCAGATCAGTCACAAAGCGAACGGCAACTGGGAAAGTTGCAAAGGCGGCAAACGACACAAAAAAAAAAATTAAAAAAAAAAGGAAAACAAAATTTATTTTTTGGATAAACAAACAAATTGATGAGGAAAAATCTGTATATGTGTGCGCGTGTGTGTGTGTGAGAGGAAAGTGGAGCAAAAGTGGAAACCTTGAAAACGGCAAGCCACAAAGAAAACACAAATTTGCATAAAATTCAATTAAAAAATGAAAAAATAGTGACACAAAAATAATAAATAGATTAAAATTGAATGCAATTATCTTAGTAAATGTATTAAAGCTAAATGGAATTATAATATGATAAATACTGAATACTGATACTGTTTTATGTATAGTATATGACTATATATAACAACAAGAACTTGGTTTAGTCCCGCGCCAGATGATCACAAATTTCAATTGAATTTAATCAAAATCAAACAAGAAGCAAAGCACAAAAAAAGCAGAGAAAAGAAAAGAATGAAAAAAATAAACATAAACTAGAGATTTAATTTTGAGTGCCTGCACATGTATTAGTGTATCTGTGCGTCGTATCTGTGGCTCTTGTGCATGTGTATTCTGTGACCGAGAAACTTAGTTCTGCGACAGCCTCCTCCGGCAATTTTCTTTTCTTTATTCGCTTTCCTCTGTCTATCGTCAGGCCGTCTGTTCATTGAAACGAACTTCAAAACTATCAACCAAGCAGCCGTCAGTGAGTGCGGGTGTGTGTGCCCTAGTACATGTATTAGTGAGTGTTTCAGTGTCTCTTAGTGTGTCGCCATGGGTAAAATGGTGAACGAAGAAATTGCCACGGAGCCGGTGCAGTTGGAGAAAGTGGAACTCTCGAAATTCGGTGAATACTGCCAGCGGCATGGCATCAATCCGAATCTGATAATGCTCAAGATCACACTCTTTGTGATGTATGGCGGTGAGTACACAGACCCCTACCTAGACCATACACTTATTATCATTAAAAATCCATTACAAATTACCTGCATAACCGTCGCACCTTCACCTCATTGACTTCTTTTGTCTGGCAATGAAATGAAAACGTGATGGGAAATCAACTTACTTGCCTTGCAGAGCCTTTTATGAGTGTCTTAGTCGGCGCCAGATAAGGTCAATTGGGTCCCCTGCCCCTCACTCATCACTCATACGACTTGTTGTTCGCTTTTGGGCGGAGAGTGGGCCATGAGCGAGGGCTTTAACTGATTGCGAAGCGCAAATAATTATTTAAAAATTATACAATTTATTTTTGAGTTTATTTATAATTTATATTTTTTATTTCTGAAACGTGTTGTAGATTTGTATGCCCGAAACTTCACTGGGATTCAAGGGTGGATTATAAATGTATAAATTTACACACACACATTGCCATTCCTTAGGCATATCTAAGTACCTCAAGCGATGCAACAGCTGTACAAAGTCCGAGCCTGAGATTTAAGCACTGGCAGTGAATCTGAATTCATTATCACACTCCGAGTGCTCTGTACCCTCCCTCTTTATTGTAGACATATGTGTACACACTGGTCTCTGGTCTCTGGTCTCTGGTCGGAAGTTATCAATTAGGTTGGATGGAAAATATGTAACACATTTGTATGAATTCAGTTAGAGAAATGAATGCACATTGAGAAAATTTTTCCCAGCGTGTGGCAATTAGGCATTCAAT